CTGAATGTAAACTAGTGGTAGTCATGTTTAGAAAAACATATGAATCCATGGATACCGTGCCAGCATGAACAAAACCTGCACAGGTTCAAACCAAACAACATCTCAGTGCAGAGAAGAGGAAATAAACACAAAGTGATACTCCTAACCAAGGTGCTATTTGAAAGGGGAAAATCAGTTTTTCTCCCAATGGAGTGATATTGGGTATATCAACAGCACTCTATGGCAGGCTCCACGATCAGGAGTTGTTGGCCAACAAAGTCAATTCTCTCTCTCTCTCTCCCTCTCTCTCTCCCTCTATCTCTCTCTCTATCTCTCTCTCCCTCGTGTGTTTGTGTGTATGTGTGTGTGCGTGTGTGTGTGGCCTTTTTATCTTACTGTTTGTTTTGATACTTGTTTATGTGGTTTTGTTTTTTTTTTTTAAAGAGAGAAAAAGAACATAAAATTGGGTAGGTGGAAGGATCTGGGAGGAGTTGAGGAAGATAAAAACATCATCAAAATTAAAATGGAGTAAAAGGTAGGAACTAAATGTTAAATGTCTTTGTTACTCTTTTTTTACTAACAAGGTGTGGTATACAGTGAATAAATTAATGTGTTCTTATTTGATAAAAAATGTAAACAATGTAATGCCCACAAGTAAAAGCTAATTGTATTGTTTGGACTGGGAAAGTTTTAAGAATAAGAAAACTGAAATTCCTATGAATAAAGTATGTTACTAAGAAGTACTCGTAAAAACTTCACAAAATTTGGAATGATGACGATCTAATTTTTTTCCTTCTTTCAGACTATGTAGTGATTACCTCTTTTATACGTCACTACACTACTCTGTATGTCCTAATGAGACTGATGTGACACAGGCCTGTCAGTGATTAAAAATGGTGTTTTGTCCACAAAAAGTAAAAACATACTTAGGAAATATCAAAGTGTCACTGAAAATGTACAGTGACTAACAAATTACCCTGAAAACTGTAGTAATTCATGATAGTATTCATTTTATTATTAACAATTGTACAATAATTAAAAGCAAAACAATAAATTTATTTTTATAATTTTAATATAGATTTATTATTTTTCTTACGTTACATATCGATCCCAGTTCCCTCTCCCTTCCTCTATTCCATGTCCCCCACCCCTCCCACCCCCCTGCCACATCACATTCTGCCCACCCCACTCTACACAGAGGGTGATGCCTTCCAGGAGGGATCATCAAAATCTGTCAAGTAATCTGGAGTAGAGTCTAAGATATTCCTCCTACCTTAGGCTAAGGGAGTATCCCTCCATGGGGAAAGTGCTCCCAAAGTCTTTTCATGCACCAGATTCATGCATCTTGGTTCCACTGTCAGAGGTCCCTTAGACTGCCCAGGCCTTCTAACTGAGACCCATGTTCAGGGGGTCTGAGTTGGTCCAATGCTGGTTTCCCAGCTATCAGTCTGGGGGTCGTGAGCTCCCCCTTGTTCAGGTCAGCTGTCTCTGTGGGTTTCTGTAGCCTGGTCTTGACCCCTTTTCTTATCACTCCTTGCTCACTTCAACTGGATTACAGGAGTTGAACTCAGTGTTTAGCTGTGGGTGTCTGCTTCTGTTTCTGTCAACTAGTACATGAAGGCTCTATGATGGCATATAAGTTAGTTATCAATCTCATTATCAGGGCAGGGCATTTAAGGTAGTCTTTCCACTGTTGCTAGGATTGGGGTCATCCTTATAGGTCTCTGAACATTTCTTTAAAGTCAGTTTTCTCTTCAAACCTATAATGGCTCCCTCTATTATGGTTTTTTTTTTTTTTTTTTTTTTTTTTTTTTTTTGTCTTTTTCTCATCTATTCATTGCTTGACTCAGTCTTCCTGGTTCCACATGTTCTCCTCTCCTCCCCTTCTCTTTCTCCTAATTCCCTCTCTATACTCAGTGACCCCCCCCCCCAATATGCTCAGGAGATCTTGTTGCTTTATCCTTCTGTGAGGGACTTTGAATGAATTACTTAGATTCCTCCTTGTATCCTAGTTTCTCTGGCGGTGTGTATCATACGTTGGTTATGCCTAAAATCCATATATGTGTGAGTACATACCACATTCCTTTTTTTGTGACTGGGTTATCTCACTTAGGATGGTTTCTTCAAGATCCATCCATTTGCCTGACAATTTTAAGATTCCATTGTTTTTTTGTTTTTGTTTTTTTTTTGTTTTTGTTTTTTTTTTTTTTTTTTTTTCTGCTGAGTAGTATAAATGTGCCACATCTTCTTTATCCATTCTTCAGTTGAGGAGCATCTAGGTTGCTTCCAGGTTCTTGCTATTACAAATAGTGCTGCTATGAACATAGTTGAACATATGTCCTTGTTGCATGGATGTGGATCATTTGGGTATATACCTAAGAGTGGGATTGCCGGGTCCTATGATAGACTGATTCCCATTTTCCTGAGGAACTCCCATGCTGGCCTCCAAAATGGCTGCATGAGTTTGCACTCCCACCAGCATTGGAGGAGTGTTCCCCTTTCTCCACATCTCTCCAGCATAAACTGTCATTGGTTTAGCCATTATGACAGGAGTAAGATAGTATCTCAGAGCTGTTTGATTTGCATTTCTCTGATGGCTAAGGATTTTGAGCATTTTTAAAAGTGTCTTTCAGCCATTTTGGATTCCTGTATTGAGGGTCATTTGGTGTTTTAGTGACTAGTTTCTTGAGTTCTTTGTATATTTTGGAGATCAGCCCTTTGTCAGATGTGGGGTTGGTGAAGATCTTTACATTTTCTGGTATCTTCCTTAATTTCTTTCTTTAAAGTCTTGAAGTTCTTGTCATAGAGGTGTTTCATTTGTTTGGTTAGAGTTACCCCAAGATATTGTTATCTGTGGCTATTGTGAAGAGTGATGCTTCTTTGATCTCTTTCTTGGCCCTCTTTCCATCTGTATATAGATAGGAGGGCTACTAAATTTTTTGAATTATTCTTGTATTTTGACACTTTGCTAAAGGTGTTTATCAGTTGTGGTTCTCTGGTAGAACTTTTGGGGTCACTTATGCATACTATCATATCAGTGAACAATGAATGTTTGACTTATTCTTTCCTGATTTATATCCCTTTGATCTCCTTTTGTTGTCTTATTGCTATAGTTAGAACTTCAAGTACTATGTTGAATAGATATGGAGTAGATAGCCTTGTCTATTCCGGATTTCAGGGTGATTGCTTTGAGTTTCTCTCCATTTAGTTTGATGTTGGCTGTGGGTTACTGTATATTGCCTTTATTATGTTTAGGTATATTTTTTGTATCCCTATTCTTTCCAAGACCTTTATCATGAAGGGGTGTTGTATTTTGTTGAAGGCTTTTTCAGCATCTAGTGAGATGATCATGTGGTTTTTTTTCTCTCAGTTTGTTTATATGGTAGATTAAATTGACAGATTTTCATATGTTGAACCATCCCTGTATCTCTGAGATGAATCCTACTTGGTCATGGTGGATGATTTCTCTGATGTGTTCTTGGATTCGATTTGCCAGTATTTTATTGAGTATATTTGCATCAATGTTCTGTTGACCAAGTATGTGGTCAATTTTTGAGGATGTTCCATGAGGTGCTGAAAAAGAAAGTATATTCTTTTGTGTTTGGTGGAATGTTTTATAGATATGTTAAGTCCATTTGAGTCATCAACTCTGTTATTTCCCTTATTTCTCTGTTAAGCTTCTGTCTGGCAGATCTGTCCAGTGGTGAGAGTGGGGTGTTGAACTCTCCCACTATTAGTGTGTGGAGCTTGATTTGTGATTTAAGCTTTAGCAATTTCTTTTACAAATGCAGGCACCCTCATATTTGGGGCATATATGTTCAGAATTGAGATTTTTCTCTGGATGGTTTTTTTTTTTTTTTTTTTTTTTTTTTCCCTGAAATGCCCTTCTTTATCTGTTTAGATTGATTTTAGTTTGGAGTCTATTTTGTTAGATATTAGGATAGCTACACCAGCTTGTTTCTTTGTTTCTTAGGTCCATTTGATTGGAAAGCTTTTTCCCAACCCTTTACTCTGAGATAATGACTGTGAGTTTGAGGTATGTTTCTTGTATGCAGCAGGATGGATTCTGTTTTTGTATCCAATCCATTAGCCTATGTCTTTTTACAGGTGAAATGATACCATTTATATTAATGGCTATTAATGACCAGTGATTGCTAGTTCCTGTTACTTGTGTTGGTGGTGGTGATGGCATTGTGTGTTTGCTTCCCTTCTTTGGGGTTTGCTGCCATAAGCTCATCTATTTCCTGTATTATTGTGGATACAGTAATTTTCTTTGGTTGGCATTTTCCTTCTATACTTTCTGTAGGGCTATGTTTGCAGATAAGTAATGTTTAACTTGGTTTTATCATGGAATATTTTGTTCTCCATCTGTGATCATGAAAACCTTGCTGTGTAAAGTAGTCTGGGTTGGCTTCTGCAGTCCCTTAGTGTCTGCATAACCTCTGACAGTTTTAAAGAACTGTTGCTGCAGTTTTTATAGAACTTGGGAAGTCATCATTATTAAACTGAGTAACTGTCACCAATTTACAAAGCCCATGGCTATGGGTGTGGTTATTCTCTTGAGGCTCATTACTTCACTATTTTAGATTAGTTTTTACATCAGAGGTAATGAAATAAAAATTATAGGATTTTTAAATTTTGCAATAAAAATTTAATAATTTTATAATAAAGTTTTTAATTTTAAGTTTTATATATTTTTAAATTTCATAACAGAATTTAAAAGTTTTTTTAAAATTTAAATTCACATATCTAGAATTAAACAAAAAATTGGCATTTATGTAAATATGAGGCAAAGTTGAATATACCTAACTTGTAAGTGCTCCATCTCGTATGGAATAAATGGTACCTTTCCTATATTAATAAGAAATTAAGTAAAACATATCACAAGTTAACAAACAGATTTTCAGTTAAGAACATTATTTTTCATTTATATTTTTTATTAAAAGTAACATATAACAAAATAAATAATTTTCGAAATTATATACATAAATAATAGAAAAAAACAAATTAATATACAACTCAGATAAACATTAATAAGGGCAGCCTTTTACAATTATTTCTTAGAAGCAGAAAAAGATCTGGTTCTTTTTTATAATCTAAACAATTAGATGGGTTAATCCCCAAAACTAAATACCTTATAAAAGAAATGATTATAATATTGATCACAAGTCAATTTACTGAAATGATCCAGCTCTTAATTTTTAAAAATCTGAATGTTTGAACTCAGTAAACTTAAAGAGGTATAATATGTGTAATATCTCCCTTAGCCTAAAAATGTTTCTCCTCTGCTGCGTATTTTATGTTCAATTCCAGAAGCAATCTGTTTCTGAATATCTGTGTGTTCTGGAGATTAGCCTGCATTATTTGTTAACATGATGCAACTGATTCTCTCAGTAGAACTAAGAAAACACCTTTAAGTAAAATAAGTAGACTAGCTGTTTTTGCTGTTATAAGTACTGAATTCAGTCAATATTTACGATTTCTCATTTTTAAAATAATTTATTTTTAGCATAAAAGTATTCGATTTGTAATCATATGAGAGCTATGGATCACCCACATTTTCTTTTTAACCCAACAGTATAAAAGTATAAGACTTTCACATGAGCACATAACTGAAAAAATGGTGTTACCTTAAAAATAATGGTTGTCTATCTCTAGTTTAAGTGATAAGTAAATTTTCTGTATTATTTATGGTAAAATTAAATTAAAAGGAAAACAATTCTAATATTAACATTATCCTTTCTTACTCAGTTCAGTAGTCTCTGGTGAACATAAAAGATTCACATGAATAAGAAAATGAGACCTAAAAGGACTAACAAGATACCTTAAAAACAGAATATCTGAACTTGATAAATCTTTGATGACTGAGAAACAATGGTTTTCCTCATAGCTGAGAAGCAGTCACTAACATTTACCAAGCTACCTCCTAATGTTTCTAGTCTTTAATTAAGCAGAACAAACCAGGGGCATTAAACATTCCAAAGCACTCTGCATCATAGACACCTGAGTCTTTGAGTGATGACACCACAGATGCTCTGCACAAAGCTGGTCTTTTTAGTAGAACATGACTAATAGAATAGAGAAAATTAATAAAATAGCCTGTTATTTAAACAAGTTTCTGGAGAGGGCCTAGGCCCTGCCCCAAATGATGTAAGACTTTGATGATCCCCCATGGAAGGCCTCACTCTCCCTGGGGAGTGGATGGGGGGGGGGTCAGTTGGGGACATGGGACGATCAGAGGGAGAGGGAAATGGGATTGATATGTAAAATAAGATTGTTTCTAATTTAAACTTAAAAAATATTAAAAAAAATAACAAGTCTGTGCTCACAAGAAACTTGAGAAGTGAATTTGATCACTAGGGGAAGCCAGACAGACTCTCAATACTAAAAAATTTCAGTCACAGAGGAGTTTGGAAATGAAGCATAACCATCTACTGTCCTTTAGTCTGTATTTCTGTTTTCTGATGTACCTAAAATGTACACACTTCTATGTCTTTTGACCCAAATGTAAGTATGACTTACCTGTATGTTAGCTGCTTTATCTAATGCAAGCCTTTTCTCTACTGCAAAACAAAAACCTAAAAGATCCTCCCATTAACACTCCAATTGCAGTCAGAAATTCAGAAAATTATGCCATGAGGAATGTTACAGACACAATCTTTCTCATCAGATGTTTTCGTTGTACGGTATTGTCCATTGTAGGACAAGTAATACCATCTTTTAAAAAGTAAAAACGAAATAGTTGATAAAGGTAACTATCAAATGCACATTGGTTTTGACAGTTTTCTTTACATAACTCAAAACACGGGATGTTTACTGAAGCTAGGCGATGTAATAAACTGTGAGACATTATGAAGTAGGCAGCTGTTGATCTAATGCATACGTCATTCTCTCCTTACTGTATTTTTCAGACCATTTTCGAGTTAGTTCTAGATAATAACTTGGCTTGTGAGGACGGTAATCCAGGTATACTGTGTTAGTGGTTCTTTTGGGGACAGCCTTTTCAATTTGAGTTCCTTCATGCCACTCATTGAAAGAGGTGATGGAAATTAAACTCGGGTGTATCTGGAGTGCAGCACTTAGACCGACTTCATAATACTTCCCGTTGATGCGGTTCCTAGTGTTCTTAGTGTTCCAAGGACGGATGCTTGTATCTATGTACCCAGGGCCTACACTTGGGATAAATAGCAAGTTGTTCTTATCACAAAATGATTTCAGGTTAGCCCAATTCTGATGTGATGAGCCATATGTAAAACCATTTGTGGCAAAATATGTGTAAATTCCATCAAAACCACTTTGAAGAATATCATATTTATGCTTTTCTTCTACCAGAAGTGCAATAAACAATCCATCATATGGAGAACTTCGAACACTCTGAGATCCTGAAGGTGTTAACAGATTGGCCCACACTTTAGGCTTCGTGATATAGGAATCATAGACATAAAACATAGGCAAAGACTGCCCGGTCCTTGTCTTGTACCTATAAAAGGCTGGATGGCTTCCATATCTACAATAGAGACACATAGAAAAGTGGGATGAACACTAATAGACTATGTCACAATAAAACTATGCACTGAAACTGAAAATGATTCATGAAGCTTGAGCACATTGTTCTCAATCTTTAGTGAGTCAGTTACATAAGGATAATAATGCTAATGCAAACATAATTTTAATTTTGTGCATTATAAGACACTGGTATACTATTCCAAACAGCTGGACAAAACAGCCCTACAGACTACAGCTAGGATATCTGAATCTTCTTCAAATCCCCCAAGACAGCGCCCCTTACCAGCAGGAAGTAGTTTGGAAAGAACGACGCCCAAATTCCCAAATATTGTGTATAAATGTTTGTTTTCATTTAATTGGACTTTGTTATATAAAATTAAATAAAAAAAATAAATAAAATTTATTTTCTATGAAAAAAAAAGACACTGGTATACTATCAAACAGGAGGTTAATTACCTCATGCCAAAGTTAGCAAATGGTGAGTAAAGCTATAAAAGTCTATTATGAGCTTCACAAATGGAAAAACCAGTTTATCTCATTAGTGAAAGGTGTCCACTTGTTGCTGAGATGATTCTTTGTAAAATGAAATAAATCAGAGAATCTTATCAGCAAAATATTTTATTAGAATGAAACTAATTATAAAATTATTTATTTTAGTTATTCTAGATACACACCAAGACAGATATGCAAACACTGCTATGAAATTAGCTCATATTTCATCTGAACTTTCCTTTAAAAGACAAAATATATATTCCTAAGATTTGAAAAATAGAAATGTAAAAGGAGCATGAACGGAAATCATAAATAGCTTTTAAGGCATATGACAATAACTAAAGCAGCAGACTTTATTCATGCCAAAAGTGAAATGCAAGAAACCTGAGAATGTACTTTGGTTTCCCTTGGTAAAATGATCAGAAATGACCAATCATAAACAACTCCCAGATATCATTTTAATGTACTCATAACAGAAATTATCATCAGAACATACAGTATAACTATGAACAATGAAGAAACTCACTTGTCTATAATATACTTGACATTTTTATGCATGTTTTGATCATCTCGATTACTATATGGCTCTATGTGAAAAGTGACCTAAAAAAGAAGAAAAAAATCAACTAAAGAAAGCACATTGATGAAAATATATTTTTCATAGTTAATAAGTTGCCAATTCAACAACATTAAGGTAATATTTAGTGAACCCCAGTGGTTACCAACTAAATCTTAGTAGATAACAATTACTGAGAGTTTCCATTACTAAACATAAGTGATGTGTTTCATATTCATGAATTCAACCTCCTTATTGCATTAGATAGCCACTGACTCCATTTTCTAAATACACAAGTTGGCGTAAGTCTAGTAAGTTACTAATAGCCCCCAGTTTGTGGATCAATGTGTGGTATCTGATTAGAAATTTTCCTAGGAGGCTACTTTTCATGACACAGATTGGGAAAGACTGTATTGTTTATAAGACACAAGAATGTACTCTGTATTCATACATAGTTTTCAAAAAAATAGAATCCCAAAATGTCCAGGTTTCAAATTAATATGGATTTTTTTCTTAGGTATGTGACCATTACATTTATACTTAAATAGAAACAACATAATATTTGATTAAATTATTGCTTAATATCATTAAAAGGGCATCTTCTAAATATGCCCTTTTCTTTTATTAGTAAAGAATTTATAAGAAAATAATAACAGCTTCACAAAGTACCATCATTTGCCCATATATAACTATTATAATAGGAGAAAGCAGAAAATATACAAATATTTAAAATTTCTACTACAAATATCAATTGCACATAATCAAGTTTAACAAATTATGTCTAGTAAACAGCTTTGTTTTGTACACTGTCTCTAACATAGATACACAGCATAGGGAATAATATAACTGAAATGATAATCATAAAAGTTATTCTAAAATTCAATTATCCATATTGAGTACATTTTATTGCTAATTAATAAAATGTTTGAATCTTATATTTCCAGTATGACACTGCCTATATGACAAGACTTTAATAGTACTGCAGCTTAGATCTTGTTTTTTTTAATTACCCAATTAAAGCAAAATGTATTTTCATAGAATTAATTTTAAAGTCAGACCATTCAGTGAATTAATTATTGTCTACTCTGAGAGCACAATGATATAAGGTTCTGCCGGTAACAAAGTCAGGTCAAGACATCTTTTCAATCTGCTTTCAAAACTGCAGCCATAAACAATCAGCTTCTTCTGTAAAGTGCAGATCAACACACTGCAGCAAATTCAAGTCATCTACTCAGAGCTTCTCAATTAATTACTTAATGTTATGTTTTACTCTTAATTAATGACAGCATTTGGTCACTTTTCCTTTCAGAAAAATCCATTACACTAACATTAAAATGAATTCAAAATGACAGAATTTCATATATAAAATTAAATGCATGTATTACTTTTCGAGAATGTGAATCATAAGAATTCCATTTCACACTTCTGATTCTGTCTTCACCAAAACTCTTCTGAACTCTGTAGCCACAGCACTTTATTCCCTAACTCTACCATCCCTTGAATTAACCTGGTACCACCCTTTATGTCATACCTGACTGAGACGATTCATTCTCTTCCTGGTAGTATCACATACTTAGTAATTGTTCCTTTCTACAACTTACTTGTGTTTGGTTTTGGCCTTTAGTAGACTGTAAACTCCCTTACCATGAGACATAAAATTGGTTTCTTCCTTTTCTGTTTTATTTTGATATGGCTGGCTTTGAAGCCAACCTCCTATCTAAGATTACAGGTGTGTGCAAACATGTCCAGCTCTCTTTCTTAATATTGCTGATATGCAAAAAAGAATCTGAATGTCAGCATGAATGAGTATCTGCAAGCACAAATTAACAATTTCAATGCAAAACTAAACAACAGTCAAATTAAACTCTAAGTGGTCTACTTCACCCCATTAGGTAAGGTTTGCCAAATACACTCATTTAAAAAAAAATAAATGCTTATAAACTATTAGCATTAGACAAATGATGTACGCAAAGGTTAAAGATCTTGTTACTTCAAAATAGCTAAATTTATTGAAATGCAAGGTAATCAACAACTGAGAAGTTTGTTTTCCTTACAATCTTGGGGAAAGAATTGACAATTCCAACTGATTTTATGTTGTTAGATTGTTGGTTACTTTAGGATTTAATGTGATGATGTTATATAGTAAACACTTCCACAATTTTCAACCTTTAATTTTATTTGATGCTTATAAAGTCTGTGCATTATTGTGATGTCTTTGCTGTAGGCTGTGGATCAAGTTTAAATAAGTTCCACAGTTTTGGCCATTTGGGTCCTAAGGAAGGGCAGAACTTCTCATACTAAAATAAGAAAAAAAAAAAAAAAAAAGCAAGCAAACAAACAAACCATGAAAACATGCAGCATACAGCCTACTTTCTCACAATCCATTAGCCAAAGCAGGTCAGGCATCAAAAGGACAAGAAACACACTTTCTAAAAAGGAAAAGATAGAATGGTGCTCAACAGTGGCAGAACCTAACAATAAGCTCCAACACATTGCCTATAAAAGACTGTTTCAATAGTTTATCTCTCAGGATGCTAGAGAAGAGATAGTAAGCTGAGAGGATCCAACCTGATCCTTATAACTGTGGTTTTAGTTCCCTGTGGAATGACAGTTACAAGTACTTCAAGCTTATGTTCCAAAAAATAATATAAAAACAATTATCTTAAAAAAAAAAAAAAACAAGTCACCACTTACAATTTAGATTTTACTAACTTATATTTGGAAAAAATAAAAACTGTCAACATTTGCAAACAGCAATGCCAAAGAAGTCATTAATTTTTCAAATACTTTTTATTAACTTTGTTTCTTCATTTATAATTTAAAACACTCACCTAAATGACTTTTAGTTTAAACTAATAAAAACTGCAGTTACAAGGTTTTAGTGACTAATGCTATTATGTAGTCAAAACTAATAGGTCATAGCAAAAGCTTAGGTGTTAAGGCATAGCCATGACCTAGAAACTCTATTTCTAAACAAGTAAAAACAAAAGTGAATGAAATTCCTTTATACATTCCAAATATAGAGAACTATAAACTCAACCCAACCAAAAAAGAAAAAAATCTGAAACACATTTGTAAAAGTTAATGTCAAATTATTATAGTATAGTCATTAAACTGTTTTCAAAATAAATTTGGTTAAGTTGAAGAATTACTGAGAGTAAGCAATCAGTATTCAACACTGGGGAAATCTGAACATTTGCAAGAAAACAATGGAGATTATCAAATTCCATCTCTTGTTGTCCTTAAATATCAAATCTAAAGCATGGACAGAACAAGTATGTTGTTCATGTTTACAGAGACAATTAATGGCTGAGGTCTTTGTTACTTTTCTCTTCCACGTAAGGACTTCCAATAGAATTAAAAGCAGTCTATTTTCACGTATCATGACATTTCAACTACTTTACCTTTAAAAACACCATTAAAGGGAAACATTCAGTTTCCTTAACTCTGCCACAAAATTGAGACAGAGTTTGGACAGATTAAACCAATCTGTGCAAATTAAACCAATAACTTATGCAACTTCAGTTGTGGTCACAGAAATTGAAGATTTGACTATTTGCAGCCTGCACATGCCCATGAGAGCTCCCAGAATGGCTCCCAGAAGCATGTTCAGCAGCAGTTACTGTCAGTTCATTTGAGAGATACTACCTCAAGACTTTCCTTAGGGCTACTGATATGTTCAAGATATGCCAGACTGTTACAGACTGTAATGTAAACTACAAAAGAAAATCCTTCCTCCCTCTACTTTGGATTCATAAAAGAGGACAGAAAAGTAAATTTCCCAAAGTAAAAACGAAAAAAAAAAATTTTTTTTTTAAAGGACAGACCAACAAAACTGCATGAGGCAGAGGTGGGAAATTACCCAGGACCTCTAACCTAAGGAATCACATAATATGTTGAAGCAACAAGGGAGAAGATACAAGCAATTAAATATATTGCTAGGAAGCATAGAAAACGTACATACCCATGTCTCCAAACTCCAACCCCAAGAGAGGAGACCCAGAGAACCTCAGAACCCCTCAGGGGAGTTCATCTGATCTAAAACTCTGTGGAATAAACAAAGTCATATTAAGAGCACTGACACAGACAGGCTGAGCCTCGGGAGGCTGGAAACTGTTAGCTGCAAAGACACAGGAATGGCTGGTACAGGCAACACTGAAATTCCTACAAGGTTAGGGAGGCCACTGATTACACTTGGAAAAAGGGAACTGGCCTGGGCAGCAGCAAACCATGTCAAGGATCAGAAAACATCTAAGAAAGGCTGGACTTTGCTTTTCAAAAAAAAGGCAGAAATTCAACTTTGCTGGCAAACTGATGGATTCCCACTGAGACCCTGCATGTTTCAACTGCACATAAAGGTAAAGAGCTCTCTTACCAGCAAAGTTAAACTGATGAGACTTCTCAGGCAGAAAAGGGCTTTCCCTGATGCTCTAATCAAAGAAGAACTTTAAACTGGTATTTTTTGTTTTACTTTATTAGTTTTAAATATTCTTGCATAAATATTTATTTTTACTTTCCACATTGCTCTACTAGATTTAACACTATTTCCACTACTGTGTCTTCTCAAGGGTTTCTCAAACCTACAACCCATATACTTTCTCTCTAATTTCTACTTCATTTTATCTTTTTCTCTCTCTTACTCCCTCCTTAACAGACTCATAATTACAATTTTCCAATGTCAATAATCTTTAGGATCTGTTTTCCCTGATACTTTTCCAATTCCTTTCTTCTATTTACTATTCTATGTGAATTCTTTGCCATACTCAATTTATTGTCTTCCCATGTCTATGTTTAGTAGGTAATATTCCCAACAAATACTTACTATCCTTGTTCCTTTATTCCCTGATGGTTAGTCAAGTTAAAGGAGACAGTTGTTTGTTGATGGAAGTTTCTGTCCTGCCTCGTCCCATAGCTGTTTTGTTCCAAATAAACACACAGAGGATTATATTAGTTATAAACTGCTTGATGGCTCAGGGTTCTTATTGGCTCTCTCTCTCTTAATTATTAACCTATTTCTATTACTCTATCTCCTCATGTCTTGGCTTAT